CCTGCATACAAGTCTTAACCTTACCTCAAGAGCAAAACTGGTCGCCCCTCGCGGCTGGCAGAGCCCCCATCGCGAAGAGGAGGAGATTTTGAACTCGAGGAAGACGACGGGAGGCGGTTTTCGGACCAGCTTCGTAGCATTGGTTGCATCGCTCGCCATCCCCCACAGCTCCCTCCCTCTCCTGTCCAGACTATCCACCAGTGTACCGAGAGCTGCATGGAGAAGTTGGAGGTCATTCCGACGTGATTCTCTTCACCCTCTACTCGAAGCAAAACGATCCGACAGTACTTACGAGGACCTCCATTGGCTGGTTTCATTCCAGCTTCACGCTATGCGATATCACCAGAGGTTAGGACACCTTCTTCACTTCACTTGGAAGGGCAGTGTTGTGGAAAACTACGAGGTAGAAGAAAGCCAAAGGCAAAGGCACAACACAAATCAAACTGTATATCTGTTATGACCCCACATTGTAGGATTCATGCACGAGCACTTGAAACCAAGTTGTGTCCAATGTTGCACCCTCACTCAGTAGATGCTGGTGTGTCACGAAATTTCGTAATCCTTGCTTGCCCATACCAACTGTGACTATTGCTTTACTCGCTAAAAATGGTTGCCTTGGCTTTAGTAATTGTCATTATGTACTGTATATCTCTCCATTAAAAAGGAGAAGAGGTCCAGATACTGCTAACCTGATGCGCTACTCCATCCAGAGACACAAGGAGCTGGGGTCAGAGTCCGTTGCCCACGGAGGACGTATCGCAGCTGGTCTGGCGGAGAGCGGCGGGGGCAGGTGGACCTCCGCTTCTCCAATCTCGACCCATCGTCTCCCTCTTCTTGTCTCTCTGTCGCCTGTGTATGGTGGAGAAGACGTTCATCAGTGGAGGGTTGATTGACTTCTTAGTCCGCAGCTCAGCTCAACTCTTGTGTGGTGTCTGAGTCATGTGACTCATCCCTACGTCCACCTCACCGAGGACAGCTACGATCAGGTTAGAGATTTAACTTCCTTATCATGGGGTTAATCCCTTACCAACTGGTTCATGTTAAAACGTAGAGCTTTAGGGTTTAGTGTGAACCTATGAACAGTACATGTAGATGCTAGTGAGGTGGATGTTTTAACCCCTTGTCATCAGGTTAAAGTGACCCCTCTACCTCTCGCCAACTACGAAGTTTTTGGTACACTTTCAAATGAGGCTTTTAACCATCAAACCTTTTTCTTACTGCTTTTTTTCTTTTAACCCCTTCCTAACTGTGCAGGTCAGTCTTCCCCTGCTGTCGGTGTTTGGGAAGGATGCTCCTTCGAGTCAGTGGTTGTGCGTGTTTTTACTGGACAAGGTGACCTTTAACCTCTCTGTCTGGTCAATGGAGGAGTCTGTTGCCATGGATACCGTCGCATACTGGGGACTCTCGTCAAGAACACTGACAGGCAAGGAGAAGAAAATAAACTTGACCGGAAAGTGAGGTTGAGATATCATTAGTTGTCTGAATTTCGTGTGTATATGTGTGTGTCATTACCAGCCTTGCGTGTGACTACGCCTTATATACTTCACTTTATTGTCGTACATGTACTACATATGTCTCCCCCTCCCCCCAGGGCGTCTGTGATTGTGAAATGTGATATGATCTGGTCCCTAATGAGAGGGTTTGCCTCCGGAGGACCCGAGGTGGCCGCCCTCCCTCCCCGGGCCCAGCGAGACCTCGTCTGCTCCCTCGTCAGATGTGCAGTCAGAGAGTCCAGACAACCCTTCCTCTCTCAGGTTTATAATTCAAAGTAACTATGCAATAGTTAGACAACGAGTCATTGGAAACTACGCAGATTTAGGAACGTGATTTAGGAAACCTCGGGCCTTGTAGTAGCGTCCTCGCTGTGCTCGGAACACCAGGGCTTCGCTGCTGTCTAGGCAGAGCACTCTACCCACCGAGCTTACCAGGGCAGCCAAGAAGACAGAGCAGAAGTCTGCAATATAATACAACGCAACGGAAAAACAAACCCAAATTCTGTGCATAGTTGTCTTGTTTTTTCTCCCCCCCCCCCCCCCCGTCAGTTGCTGGGCCCTCTTCACCAGAGGTTCTCGTCTCTGGTTCTGAACCCAAACCTGAGACCAGGAGAGAGCCACAGCCCAGCGACCATCAGGGAACTCCTGTGTCTCCTGGAGGCCCTGTGTGGACTGGCACTCAACACCCGACCTGCCCTCATACAGGTGTGGGTGGGGCTCTATAGTCACTAAGGTTGTCTCTATCTCAGAGGGTCCCTTATCGGAGGTTCCGCTGTATTCATGAGTCGACACCGTTGTTTCCTTACGTAGGAGTTCTTTGACTACCTGCTACCTCTATTGCAAGCCTCAGTCCAGTTGCTGGAGCTGTACACACACACACCAGAGGTCGTGGGGGTCATTCTCGAGCTCTTTGCGCTGTCAGCTGAGAACTATGTCGTCTTTCTCAGCCAGGTATGGAGAGGGTGGGCTTCATTTGGAGATATGAGGGTGTTTTACAGCAATACTGCTGAAATTGGCGTTCGCTTACCAAAAAATGACTCACTAGTTATCAGTCCTTCTTGTTTTATGTCAGGAGCATACTATGGAGCTGTACAAGGTGTGTCTGGATCTCATACACTCGTACGCCCGTTCCAATACCGGCAAGTACAGGAGAACCGGTCTGGGTCCGGACGAGGAGGAATCCTGCGAGGACCTCCTGCAATTCCTCAAAATGATGACACACCTCACCGTCAAAGACTACATCGACTTTGGTAGCCCTCACGGTCAGCTCTTCTCTCTCTCTCTCTCTCTCACCCACCGCACCCAACACTAGCATTGTAATTGACGAGCGAAGCAAGCCTGCCTATATGATACTGAAATAAGGGCACGTCACGAGTCCCACTGGTGTCCAGATTAGAGGGGTTCCACACGATGTAATGCTCCCAGATGGATTGGTACACCATGTGTGCCAGTGTCTGTCTGTCTGTCTACCCAGATGGAGAGTCGGTGAAGCCAGTTGACGTGGTCGTAGCCGGACTGAACACAATCCTTCCCTCTCATGACCAATGAAATCCTCAAGGTCTCCGCTTTTTACAACCTCAGCAGAACTCCTGTACTTTCTCTATCCTCTCCTCCAGCTACTATATACTCTTCTACCTAGCCTTATACATTTACCCTCCCTCCTATACCTCTGGTTTCCTTCCCCTACACAAGCAAGCCCTTCTTTTGCATTTACTACTATACAATTCTCTCCTTTCTGTTTTTTTTCCACATTATGAACTGTGCTATATATATATCAGAATTAGCTCAATTTTTGCCTTCCCTCTCTCTTACCACCCCCCTCACACACACTCCTCCCCCTCAGTTCCCATCTCTATGTCGCCAGTTCTACATTCTAGTCAACTACGTCTGTGAGAGTTGTCCCGAAAAGCTCCCCACAATTCCCCACCAGTTGTTCCTCACCTTCATGGACCTACTGGAGACCGGTCTACACAACTATGGCCCTGAGGTCAGGATCCTCTGTCTAGAGGGTATTGAGGGTGTGGCTTCCTGCCACGCCCGGGCGGGGCCTCCCCACTCCTCCCAGACTCTCACCGACGTACTACAACACTTCCTTAAGGTGTGTTCTAGCAAGGCAAAGCAAAAAACAAGTCAACTATATTCGTAGGCCCAGTGCAAGAGATTTCCATTTTTTTACACTCCCTGCACAGGTGATATTTGATCAAATGCTGAGTGCTTCATTTGATATGGACACCATTCATTCCACCAGTGGAGCAGTCTATGCCATCATATGCTACCACAAGGTACCTATTATGTACATGTATATACCTGTTACGTAGACCACTGCAGAAATCAGTATAATACAGGACTTGGGCGTACATCTGTATTTGTTGGATATCCCTAGGCAACCGACATGTATGAAGCTAGGTACTGGGGGGTTGTATCAGCCTATACAATGTGCAAGAAGGGTTCATACATGTAGTTTGCCTAGGGATATCCAACAAATCTGTTGCAGTACCCAGACAGGACAGCATTCGCCCTTACAGGGCTCATGCTGTCCTGTCTGGGCACTGTTTTGTATGCATAGTGGGACTAGAGGTGCATTTTGGATGTATGTTTTAGCAAATTTTGTATGCATAGTGGGACTAGAGGTGCATTTTTGATGGAGAAAACCACAAAGCCACTGAAAGTTACTTGTTGAATCATAATAATGTGGTCCATACCCACAATTGAATTTCCAGGTAAATCTTTCAATTTTCAGCTTTAACCCCTTCCCCCCTCTCCCCCCTCACCAGGAAAGCTACCTGTCCCTAGCCAACTCCCTCATCTCCTCCCAGTCAGATCCCCAGAGCCAGAGCAGGCTCATGGAGGCCTTCTCTCTCCTCACTCCTCCCTCTCTCCCTCTGGACTCCAAGAGAACTTCCAAAATCACTTTCAGAAAGAACCTCGAGCAGTTTCTACCGTTTGTGAAAGGTTTCTTGTGTTACAAATGACGACACACACGTTTCATCATCAATTGTTTGTTTTTTTTAACCATTATAGCAACTATCTGGCGTCATATACCATTCTGTAGGATGTATGCTTTTTATTTCATAGTCAGACCTGTAGTCATGTGAGGGAGAACATATGTACTTGCAGTTTGGTTTTTATTTCGGAGGGTCCCTTATCGGAGGTTCAACTGTAATGTGGAAAAGAAGATTAGGTAGACTTGTTCTACTTGCCAATTATGCTTGCTGTGTTGTGTTGAAAATTTAACCTCACAACTAAGAAACAGCATTCTAACTAGCTACAGAGACCATACGTCAATGTTATTATGTAATCCGAGGCAATCAAAATCCGAGGGGTGTCCAAAGAGAGAGTCCTAGCAGACTGGAGGAGGGGTTCTGGAGAGAATGTTGGGATTTCCTGAGACTCAGTTCTGGGCTGGAGCTGGCACTGTGGGAGGAGGGAAAGGATTGCAGCAATTTGGAGTATGTTCATACTTTTTGAATAGTAGGCACTGCCCTACCCTATTAAATTCACAGACTGTTCTATATACTACTGTACTAGAGGAATGCAACACATTATTGTGAGCAAAGTGAGCAGTTCAATATTTCACACGTGTTGTGCGTGTATTTAGAATAATGTAGATCATTAAGGTATGTGCAGTGTCCATCACATAAATTCCTGCATTGACATATACGACTATACTGACTATACTGCTACATACATACTGGAGTCCAATAATGTACACAAGAAAAAGGCAGGAATGCATGGATAATGTTTTGACAGATGGCATGCATAGAGTACTGTCCTACATGCATACATACTGGACTTTAGTCCCAATAATGGGTGGCAATAATATCTCTATCTAGAGTGCACCAAAGGTAGCATTGTACTGGTCACTGTGAGTATGGACAGATGTATATACATCTCTCTCACACTGACCTTTGTACTTGGTGGCAATGTGTATGGCAAGGGCGTTGTTGTTCCCCCCATTGCGATGGGCCACTGCCTCCACCAACATCTTCCACGAAGGCAGTCCGAAACGCTCCGTGTTGTAAGACTGGTTCAGCCACTCGGTCACCATCTTTTCCAGACAGCTCCTTGAGTCTTGTTGGTGATCAGCTTTGATTCTATCGAGGTCAGGCTGTCGTAGTCTGAGAGCTCCTCCCAGTGACTTCCACACGTGAGCCACGTCACCCAGTTCAGATACAACATCAAAATGGTCATCAATGTCTGCACAAAAGTTGAACATGCAAAATCAGCTAACTGGTTAGATAAAGGTCATTAAAGTAAAGGATGCACGCACTGTTTTAATGCGTACATTACACATACCTAGTGTGGACTGTTGGGAAGTGGTAGGAGGTGGCTGGGAGTGTGTAGTGGTGACTGGTACTGCCTCTGACACTGTGGACTGCTGCTGTTTGCCTGTGTATATATGGTGAATCTCATCCTAGTATCTTTATGGATTCTCATACATACGCACGTCTGCTATTTGACTTCTTGTTAGGGAGGTTATGGCATGTTGGAAACAACTCACTTGATTTCTCAAACCAAGGAAATTCAGTTTCAAGTGCTGCCAGAGTCCCACGGCTTT